AGAAACCAGAGCTCTGCTCTTCCTGTGGGTTATATCCACTGGCAACCAGCTGCTGCTGGTATTTGATATCACCTGGGAAACCCATCAGGAAGCTTTGATTGTTCTTTTTTCTCTTTCATTTTTTAAATTTCCATCACCTTTTCCAGCTTGCTCCCCACACTCTGCCTGGTCTGTCTGGTTCAGCCACTTCCATGTGCCCCAGCAGTGGGGAGATGGGAGCTCACCTGGCACAGGGATCTGCACTGTGCCAAGCTATAGGAACATCCCTGATGTCTCACCTTGGGCAGTCTGAGCTCGACATCATTTCTATAAAACTGGAGAAAAAAGGCTGCTTAGCTCTGGAACACTATTTTTTTTTTTTTTTCCAGTCCAATGCATTTCCATGCCTGAAAATGGGTAGATGTGCAATTTATTCAAAGCAGTCCTTAGAAAGCTACAGGCTGTGGCTTTTAATTTTCATATGTATTTATTTTTATAAAAAAAAAATCCACATTTTCTCCATTAATGGGTGGTATTTACTTTAGGTACAGCAGAAATCTGATGTTGAGCTTCAAATTAGGCAAATCTCCATTTATTAAAACCCTAAGTGCCTCTGTTTCCAGATTTTTTCACGGTACATTTAGGCTCCGTGTTGGAAACTTAAAGCTGAACAGCCTGAGCTCAGATCTAGCAGGAAGGGATCTAACAGTCAGTCTGACTTGTAGGCTGTAGTAAAGGCTGGTGCCATAGAGGGGTGTGAAAAGCCTTTCATGTGGCCAGAGGAGGACCCTCCGGAGGCCAGCCTGGGTGGAGGAAAGTCTAGGAGCAAGGCAGAGACAGGAATTCATCCTGTTGGAGTCACAGGATAAGGTTTCACTTCTGGGGGCTGGTTCCTTTGCTCTAAAGCAAACAAAGCCTCGGGTTTGACTCTGCTCCTTTGGTTTTTCATTTTCTGGAAATGTGTTGCTTTATCAAGCGGTGCTGGAAGCCTCCAAAAAACTTGGTTTGCAATGGGACACTTGTGCAATTTTGTCTTTTTGAAAGACTTCTGTGTGTTGGTTGTAGTCAGCTGAGGAGGGGCTGGTGGACCCTCTCATAGCCAGTGTCTCCAGTTTATGAACAGAGTACTGAAGTTTCCAGGGGAGGTGGCACCGCTGTGCTTTCCAGGCTTTACATCCAGCTCAGTCTGCCTTGCAGACACCATCATTAGCAGATAATTGCCCCGTTCTGAAACCAGGTGAAGCTTTTGGACTTGCCTTTGATTTTTGTCCAGTGCCAGATGAGTACTGGAAGGCTCTCCCTCCTGTCCAGAGGGGATTAGCTTCCAGGGATCTCAGGATGAGAGAGGTTATTAGCAGCTGTAACAATCTGTCCCTCTGGCACTTGATGCTGTATTAGGGTGGATGCCCCATTTTTGGAAGAGAGGAAAGCAATTGCTCTCTGCTTGCACAGGCAGGTTTGGCTCTGTCACACCCTTCTGCAGTGTTCTGGTGCTGGTATTATGTTAATTAGAACTGGAAATAATAAAGCCAAGAGTTAACCCAGCAAGGAATTAAAAAACCCACCCCAGCCAAGATATTGACATCTCCCTGCCCCTCCCAGTGTTCAAAACGCCCATAAAACTTCTGTGAGCTTTGGAAAACTACATCAGCAAATGAGCTCTGTGCAGGGAATTGTATCCAGATGCCGGGGTGGTGGTTGTGAGGACCTCTACCCTCAGCTCCCCTCTCTGCAACCATCTCCCCCTCCTGGAATAACGAGACCCATTGCTAAATAAATAACATTAAATATCACACCTTCTATGCCAGACCAAACCAGCCTGACGTGACAGGTTTGAGCACAAGCAAAGCTAATTCCCCAACTTATCTCCAGTGTGCTTATAACTGAGTTCATCCAATCAAACCTGTGTTACAAAGCTCTGGAAGTGAAGGGAGAGCTGCAGCTTCATTGTGGTTCAGCCAAGAATCAATTTATCTTTTTCTGTAGTGTTTTATGACAATTCCTGTGTGTTGGTGAGGGCCAGAAAAGAGGGACACCTTACAAATGTTTCTGTCCTCTGTATCACTGGCATTGCATATCCAGACTGAAAATGAAAGGAAATCTTGTAGATTGGATCAGCCATAGTAAGGAGATATCTGGGTCAAAATGTCCAGCAAGGAAGAGTTTTACTCCTGCATAAAGCTAAATATGAGTTTTATCTGTGGTTTTGTTTGTTGTTTTTTTTTTTTAATTTTAGTTCATCCTGTTATTTCCCCTGAACACACAGTTAGGGAAGAAAGGGATTAAGAACAACTTATTTTATGGTGTCTTCATTTCAGAGATGCAATAAAAACATAGAGCACAATAAGAAGTTACAAGCTCAGCCCTCTTTTGCTGAGTGAAGATGTTTAGGGAGTGTTTTGGATAAAACCTCTGCAGTGAAACCCTGCAGTCATTCCAGCTGAAGGATTCCCAGCTTTTCTTTGTTTTCAGTTTGGAGTAAGTGTTATATCCAGGAGGAAAAGGGAAGGATTGGACCACCTTTTCTGCAATGCCTGTGAAAATATATGTTGTAGGAGTCCAGCCCAGCCAAAATGCAATATGTAGGTTTTTTTCTCTAGATGGAACTGTTTTTCTTTTGGGTGCTTTTTTTTTTTAGGAATGGCTTGTATCTATCCAGTGGGTGTGTCAGCTGCAACGTTTGAAAGCTTTAATTCTTCTCCATCTCTAAATTTGTCACTGCTTCTCATGACCGGAGAAAATGCAAGAGATGTTTTGGCCATGTAAGAAGTCTTAAACTTTTCAGAGGAAGATGCTGAGGGGTGTGGTGAAGTGACAACTCCTGTCTCCTCTCCTGAATCTTGTCAGCCTTGGGATTTCCTCATGGGCTGGTTAAGAGGTGGCTGCTGGAATGGGAGCACCATCCCAATTCCGATGGCACATCCTGCTGGGGCACTGGTTCCTGTCCAGGTGAGCTGAACATGCTGGATGCAGCAGCCTGGGCTCAGCAGGCATTATTTAAAGCAGTCATAACGTTGCAGGCTTTTTATTTTGGGGGTGCCCCAAGCTGAGAGATTGCAGAGATCAGGGAGAGTCAGGAATGGAAGGAGCAGGAAAAATGAGTGTGTTATCCAGGGCCTTGAATTCCCCTCATCCTCCATCCAGGTTCCTGAGCTGACCTCCTCCAGCTCCCTTGCTGCAGAGCTGGGCTTCACCAGGGACACCTCTCCTTACCCGCTTTGCTTACACAGCTGGGCCTGAAGCACGCTCTTGCAAAACATACATTCAGTGCAAATATTATCCCTGTACATCCTGCCCCTGTTGTTTCTGACGAGCAGGATCAGCAGCTGGAGCGTGTACCTCGAGTCCCATAAGATGCTGGAGCCACCCTGAGAAACATCACCTTAGAAACGAATCCTCCCCCAGGTCCACGAGGGAACTGGGAAAAGGGGCTGGACAGTCCTGTGGCCTGGGATCCACTGTGTTCTGGCCTTGGGATGGGCTGTGTTCAGCCAGGCTGTTTCAGACAGACAGTGGATCTTGAGAGAGGTTTTGGTCTGCGGGAGGAACGACGTGGCTGGTTTTGTGCAGCTCATTACGCTCCCGTTGCCGATTTCTAAATGGAGTCCTGTTGCTGAGACAGACCAGGTTTGCTTTTACTAAAAACAGGGGGGTGGGTTTTTTATTTTTCTTGTACCAAAGTATGAAACTTTAGATGGCCATCTCTGTGCCTGGTCACCTCTGAGGTTTTTTTTTTCTGCTGACATTCACCTTGATAAGCTACAAAGAGGTACAAACTACAGTGGCTCGCCGCGTCTTGACTACTGTCTTGCTTTGATAGAAATCCTCAGGGTAAAAAAAACACCTTGTGCAGCAAAAGCAAAGGCTGCAGTCGCTTTCATGAGGCAGGCTTAGTCCCCCTGGAGGACTGACATCCCCATTTTTGAGGCCTAATTGCATGAAGTCTCCTGTGATAATTCCTTAGACAGCGATGAAAAGCGGCTGGAGCCAGCCCTCAGCATTGAGGGGGACGAGCCCAGCGGGTCGCTGCAGTGTCTTGATAGGGCAACAAAGACATCCAAAGGCTTGGACAGCGGTGATCCTGTCGTATGGGCTTAAAGCCTTTTTTCATCCCTTGCAAACGCAGGTTCCTGGGGTTGATCAATATTAAAACGCTTCCTTAAAGGTGCATTTCCTGCACCTTGTGATGGTGGGATCGTGCTGAAGGGTTGCTCTTGTTTAGGTTATTGTTGGCTTTGAGTGGAGGCAGTGTTTGTAGGAGTCATCCTTCTGACTCCGGGCTGATGGTGTCAGCCTGGCCACGCAGGGCCATGGCAAACACCCACCAGCAGCATCTGTGCTTGCCCAGAGGGACCACAGTCCAGGCTCCCTGATGCTCCCCAGGTCTGCAGCAGCAAGCTGGAGGTTTTCTGTTCCTCGCTCCCCTCTTCACTCCCTATTGCAGGATCAAGCAATGTGTTACCCTGCACTGAGGGGGTGAGAGAACGTCCCGACCCGTGGGCTCAGCTTGTGGGGTATTGATTTATAGCCTTCAAAGGATGGCAGGGCATAATGAGTTGGGCAGCTGCCAATAGCTCCGTGTCACCAGAAGCCTGTGACTCTCCATGTGTTAAAGCTTTGCTGCTCCTCAGTAGTTCAGATGGCTTTGTGTCTGTCAGAGCAGGCACAATTTGTCAGGTTCTTGGGGTGCGCCTACATTTTCTGAACCCTTTTTGAAGCTATTTCTGCATTTGATTTGACAGCCCAAAGCCCACAGAAGGGAAGAACATAGCTGGTTTGCAGGCATGCAGCCCTCACGTTTAACTTGGACATCATAGCCCGCTCATAAACCCCAAGTAACAGCAGTTTTGAAAGCCCTCTGCAGTATTGATTTATAATTTTGTGCAGCATCAGCATCACTTTAAAGAACAAGGGATTTTGTAATGCAGTTGTAAATTATTCCTATAAGTACCTTAAGTGCCTCATGGGAGGGCATGTTCACTCACAATGCTTTGTAATTTATTTCTTCTCATGTTTTTCAGCTGTGCAATAAAACATTTGTGAATATCCAGGAATGAGGATCTGTCCAGGAACGAGGATCCTTAGAGATGGCATTGACGTGTACCAGGCTTACTTGAAAACCTTTGTATTATCTGCAGGAAGGAGAAAAGGAAGGTAGGAATAAGTATGAGAGTTTCCTGAACCTATGTGGCAAGTTAGAAGCTCCTGACAAGTTATAAACATGGTCATTTTGCTTCTTGAATCCTCTCCTGGGGGTCCCCATTTGTGGAATGGACTGTCTTTGCTAAGTACTGCTGGTGGTGAGACTCTTTGCCTGGGTTTTATCATGCAATTCCTTTTCTCAGTGTCATTCTCTGTGGATGCAACCAGTTGTATTTCAGAACTATACTGTTTTACTGTTGGTTCTAAGAGTGGCTTTGTACAGGTCTAACCTTGGATGTCTCGGCCAAACACAATTTGTGTTATCTTCAGCAGAGCCATATTTTGACTCTCCAGGGTGTTGTTTTACCCTCTTTCTGTCTAAGTCCTTGGTAGGCTGTTTGATGTTTAGCTGGTAGCCTCAGATCCTAAAGGGTTCCAAGAGCAGCTGTCCCAAAGTGTGAAGTTTCAGGTGTAACTCAGAGAAGACTTCAATGGCCAAATGTAGGCAAGGGGTGAAAAGCCTCAGCTGGCTCTTGCTGGTGTGAGCAGGGTTATGTCATCCCAGGTACTTTTTGAGTAAATAAGTGGCTTTGTTGTATATTATTTGAAAGAAACCCAACACGAAATTTACTCTGTTGACTTCACTGACCTGAAAAACTCTCATAGCCACTTAGTCTGGCTCATTGTCCTGTGTGGGTTTGTTATGGGGATGTAAACACTGGTTGAAATCTTACAAAGGTAAATTTTTCTCGAGTGGGAAGGCTAAGAGATTGCTGTTCAGTACATAGGCACAGAAATAGTCTTTATTTCTGGCTCCACGTTGGGATTTCCAGCTCAGTGCTCTTCCAGGCGTGCTCATGGAATGCCAGCAAATCCTTGTAGGTGAGGCAGGGCACGGTGGTCCTTTGACAAAACAATCCTGAGGGGCTGAGATTCCATCAGCGTGCCCCCATCTGCTGGGATTAGCTGACACAGAACTAACAGTGGTTGTATGGCTCAGGGCATGAAGTAAATACCCGTCACGTTGATCTCTGGAGCAAAGGAATTGTTTGTGGCGTCTTGACCTGCCCTGAACTCCTGGGCGATCACAAAGGATTGTTGATGGTTACAGCCCAAACGCAGTGAGCAGTACCTTTGGCTCTGTGCAAACACACTGTGCACGCTTGTGAGACCAATTAGGAGTCCCAAGGACTGCCCTAAATTCATTCTTGTTTTGCTTCTGACCTCCTGGCATGTCCTCACTCACAAGAAGTTGTTCTGGAGCTCCTGGTCACGGGCACCAGGTGTTTGCCCCACTGTGGCCAGCTGTCCCTGCTGCCCAGCCACTTGTCTGTGCTAATAAATACTTCATGCCCAAGTCCTGAAGAACAGACCAAAGCGCCTTGATGAACCTGGAAAGCCCCGAAAGCGTGTGTAATGTCTGTTTTGCAAGCCCAGTCACCCCTGACGTGTGGGCCTCTTGCCTGGAACAATTATCTGCTCGGTGAAGACCTTGCAGACCGTTTGGAAGTGCCTTTTGCCCTCCCTTTCATCCATCTGGCCATTAATAGGTTGTTGGGGGATGTCAAGGATTTAGCCCGACCAGCAGAGGTTGCAGCTGGCCTGGTGCAATCCTGCTGCTCCCAGCCCTGGCTCCCTGCAATATTCCATGCATCTCCCTGAGCCAGCTGTGGGTGTGTGCCGCTTACACTGCCGGGCTTGACACCAGCATCCTGACTCATCACTGCAGCCTGGCTGCAAAACCAACTGTGTCTTTTTCTTTTCTGTGTTAAGAGCATGATTGAGTCCTCCTGTTTCTGTGCAAGAGCCTGGAGCAGCTGCCTCCGTTCTCCCCTGGCTGGACTGTGTTTCTCAGGATGCAGGAGGGATGCCAATGAAGCAATGTCTCTCCTGGGAGAGGGTTGGATGGATCGTGTTAATGGAGCTCCAGCAGAAAGCTTCACTCACGAAGGGTGTGGGGAGCAGCAGCTGATCTAGACCAAATGATGACTTAACCTTGCCTGAAAATTAAGACGTCGTTCCTTCAATTTTTGTCCTGCTGGAAAGCTGAAATATTTTGATGAAACCCAACTTTTTTTCATGAGAAAACCTTCTTTCTATCCAAAGCTTGCCTGTTGGAACACTCCCCACCAGCTCTATTGGTGGGCTGGGGAGTTTTCCAGGACTAGCCTGAAGTTTCCATCAGGCATCATAAGGCATTGTTGAGGGTTTTTTTGTTTGTTTATTTGTTTGCTTCTTAAGGCAGCCAAGCAACATAACTCCTGGCAAGAACTTTGGTACCTGATTCATCCTTATAAGATGCTCTGTAAAGCAAGAAGGCACGTTCCAGAGCTATCTGCAACTTGCTTTTAAAACTGAATTTTCTCTAATACCCCAAGCAAGAGTTAATAAATGGCTCAAGTGTTTGTTTCAATTTAGGTGCTTAATTGGTTCTCAATTAGTTTCAGATGAGGCATGTTACATTTATCCCATGACCCTGTAAACACAGTTTGTCTTGCCATCCCATAAGTAGCCCCTCTCTCCTTTCAAATGTTATTTTTGTTCACCTTCCTGGCATCCAGTTTTAAATAAATATATGAAACTCAGAGGAGCGTGGTTCTCTGCTTTCCACTCTCCTGGTTTCCTTGAGGTCAGCAAGGGCTCCACCAATTTCCACTGATAGATTTGATGTCAGCTCCACATTTCCTTCTGGCCTTTCATTTGAAAGCTATTCTGGTGGAGAACAAATTTTTGGCTATTTAGAGAGTGGAAAGGAGCCTCGGGGAATGTCCTTTTTCTCAGTGCCAGTAACATCATGACTGGAAAACAGTTCTTTTCTTTTGTGCCTTGGTGCAGCTGAAAGGTGCTGGAGCAGACCCAGGAAAGGGAAGGTTGTGCAGAGGGAGGAGAGGATGGGACATCCTTCCTGCAAAGGGAGGAGCAGGGTGGCCTCTGGCTATCCAGTACATAATGTAACTCCACCCATCAGATCCTGGAAATGACTTCAGACTGCCTTAAGGATGGAACAACACCAAGGAATGACATTTTACTTGGATTTTTAAAGTTCTAGGCAGAGTCTCTGCCCTGGGTCTGGTTGGTAACTGAGCTCATAACTTTGGCTTCCACTGCTTTGCTGGGGTTCATTCATGTGCTTTGAAATGTGACTATTCATGAGGCAGTACCAGCATTTTTTCCACTCCCTTCTCCTGAGTGACTTCCCTTCCTCGCTATTCCTGTCCTGCTTCAGGCTTAATTACACCAGTCAGGAGAGATAGAGTTGAAATAGCCACAGCTTTAAGTTGAAGACTGTTTGCTGCATTAAAAAAAAAGGCTTAATTCCCTCTCCATCAAGCTTATGATATTAAAAGCAATGATTCTCCCTCTTTTCTAATTAGTTTTATTGGTGTGAGCTGCCATGCTGTGCAGAAAGGGCTCACATACTGTGACTGCAATGCACTTGATACCTGAGCAAAGAAGGGGCAGGTAATGGATAAAAGACTGTGCAGGTCTTCCTCCTCACTGGGACCTCTCCTGAATGCTAGAAAATCTCCAGGATTGGTTTTCCTCATGTTTCTTGCTGTTCTAGGCGGAAATGACTTTTAAAAAAGGGGCATTAAGATGGTCCTGAAAACATGTTTCAGGGAAAAGAGGGGTTGAGACGTTCAGCTGCTGTGGTGATGGATGTTTTTTGTGAAGGGAAGATGTGCCCATTCCAAACTATTTGTGCTTCCATGTGTATATTCCATAGACTTGCCTTGGCAGAGCAAATCCTCGCTGCACTGCAGGTTAGGGGAGAAGTGACTGGGCAACCACCTGCAAAGTCACTGTGGGGCGACTGATCTGTGCCTTTTTTCTGTCATTCCTGATCTGGAGGAGAGAAAGTCATGTAGAGAACTTCCCAGCACTAGAAAGTTTCTGTGAGCTGGCATTGCTTGGCTGTGAATATTCATGTGCAACTTGTTTCTGGAGCAGAAACGTGAGTGGGGCTGTGGTGCTGCGAATTGCAAGTGAAAGTGTTAATTTTCACACAGTTGTAAAAGAAACCCCACTTTGGGAAGATTTTGCTTGAGTCAGGGGTGAAGTTCCTGTCAGCTTTAAAGGGTGCAGATCTGAAATGCTGAGTTTGAATATTGAGACCCTCATAAAATACTTCATTTCATCGGGAAGATTCCCAGGCTCTCTCAGCATGTTACTTTGTCAAACTTACCTTTTTTTTCCTGGAGAGAGGTTGGAGCCTGACTTATTATTCAGCTTTCTATTGCAGCTTTGTTTAGTGGAGTTTATACATTCTTAGATCAAACATTATACAATCTGACCAGGAATCATGCAATCACAGTGGGAGATGGGAAGGAACAGCATAATTTATTCTATAAACAAAGGCATCATCTACATTAAAGTACAAGTTGGTTAATAAAATGAGTTTTAATGCAATAGAAAAAATAAATATGCAGCTTTCCCTGAGCTGTGTTTAGAAATAGTTGCACTCAAATGAGGAATGTGGCACTCGTGTTCCCACAGAGGCTGCCTTCGTCTCCTGAAAGCAGCTACCCTGGTCTATCTTGTCTGGGAAGACTAGAGGGATTTGACCAGATCCCTTTTGTAAAATGGAGTGGGTGATGAATGCCAGCAGAAGGACTACACCACATTTAATATTTCCTCTGAGATGAACCAGCTGCTCTAGGCTGGGATCATGTGCAAGCTCATGCTGAGGAGAACTCTGAGGATACTGAGAATGGGCATAAAAAGGTGATGTCAAAGGATAGTAGGTCTTTTTATCTACAGCTTGTTCTGGAGGATGCCTGTGTGAGACCCTTGTAGGACAGCTTTGCTGGTAAAGTTGTAACTTTGGTAAAATTTCCAAGTTACTGTGTTTTGGCTGCTGGGTGAACAGAGGATCCTCCTGAGCCTTTGCTGGACAACCAGAGGCTGGGGCATTTACTGAGTGGGGTATGTGTTATGGGCAAAGGCTGGTGAGTCAAGCTGCTGCTTCTGGATCTGAGGAGGAGGAGAATTGGGGGAGATTGTCCCCTTTT